GGGGGAAATTGGCAGCAGATGCACAGAACACAACTGTAAAAGAACACTGACTTTATACAAACGCTGGGTTTGAATAAATCAGCCTTCTTTGTCTGGATTATAATTGGGCGATGAATATTTGTAGAACTGATTTAATTCTATCATTTCGGCCTGTTTCTATCCTGGAATTTAGAAATGTGGTTTATAGACCAACGGAGTTCTTAGTACATAATCTCTGTTTGGGTTTGTCGAAGTGGTGTTGTCACCATTTATTTTCACTAGTTCTCTTATTTATGGGGTGGGTTGGAGGAATCTCCAGCGTGGAGGTTGGACTCCAAAGAGTCTTTATTTCTGCAGTAGCTACTTGGTTTGTCAGCAGTTTAGAAACTGCAACAGTTCCTGCATTATTGCTGTCTCGTTCACTTTTGTGGACATCAGCGGTATTATCTTGGTCGCAATTCATTGACTGGGAAAGTGAAGGAGGACTCACGTGCAACAACCTCATAAGGGGTGAAAATTTCTAATATACTGAGTGTAGAAGATTATTGTCTTTCTAATGACTGTTAATGATTTATTGCCCCAAAAAAGTTGTAGTTGTATATAGACTTTAAATATTTTCCCATATGTTCTTCAATCAAGTCAATTAAGACACTTTATTTTGAGCTGTGGTTGAGTGACAGCGCTTCCAAAGGAAAATCCTGATGAAATCCTTGCTGGCAATATTCTGTTTGGGATGGAGGGAATAACTTTCTGAGGTTTTGAAATCATTTTCTTTATCCCAAAGTGATGGGTTACATAGTCTGTAAATGATAAATACTTCTTAAATGGAAAGGTTCTCTGTATCTCAGAACATGCTTTGGAAGGAAGAGAGAAGGCAGGTGCTCTGCTAAGTTGCTGCTTCTCTGGAACAGAAGTTTAAAGTCTCGTGTATTTAGTTACAATGGGAGGAAAATACCAAATTATTCTATAAGCAGTGCAACTAATGAAGACTGGCTTCTTATGTCCAAGCCCCCATTCCTCCCTTCCTAGATGCACTGAGGAGATAACCAGACTGCCTTCCTGTATTCTCTACCTGTTTGGATGGACAAACAGCAGCATGTACGGTGGTGGGCTACATAATGCTTCTCAAATAGATATGAGACTGAGTTAAAAATATCTTTCCCTCCCTGGAGAATTTGTGTCTCTCTTCTCAAGGCAGCAGCTAATTTTCACAGTACCTATTGACAGATTAACACCTTTGAGATGTCTAATCTTCTGTCAAATATGACTGAAGTGCATTTAAAGCTGGGGGGAAGGAGATGGATGGATCAGCATATGCATTGACTGCGTAAACTTCATTTCCATAGCAAGGTTAAAATTAATGTGGGCTTTAGCTTCTTGATTACTCCTGTGCATAAAAATTGCATGGGTCATAGCAGCATGCAGCCCGCAGATATTTGAGTACAGAGTGGTAAGTTAATAAAGGGAAATAATCAGCCCTTTTGTTTTTGGTTTTTTTTTTGTCTCTAGCAATAAAGGACCTCGTGCTGCCTATTCTGAGTGGCTGTCCAAGATGGGGGGGAAAGCTCAAGGCATCTCTCGATACCATGTTATGTACAGGTAGGTTTTAAAAGAGGACTGCATGTCAAATGTAGAAACTAGAGTGCGCACACATACACACAGAGAATTGTAGAAATTCCAGGAAAAACATGATCTGCATTATAATATGCTGGCTAGATCTGATTTTTGCCTGTTTTACTGCTTTGTCTTACTGGAGGTGCTCTGCAGGAGGAGGTTAGAACTGCCAAAATCCCACCGGAGCACAGGAATTCTTCCAAAAGCTTGCTCCCTCCCTTAAGAAAGTGTGTAGAACCAGATGCTCCTCTTCAACTTTATTTTCTAGGTGTCTTGTTTGTGATTATGCTGTTAGGTAGGCTGCTTCAGAGCCAGAGCACCTGCTGAAGTTGGACAGAAAAAATCGCTGCGATTCACTGAGAATTTGATGAGTTGGGTCCCAACTTGAGCATCCTCTCAGAGGAATTTCCACACCTGCCTAAATCGAGCACTGTAGCGGGGGGAAGTGAGGTTTCCAGTGGGGCGTTTCTCATGAGCTCGTAAGCTGCCAGCATCTTGCTTTTTAAAGGAAAACTTTGACTCGTTTAACTGAGTGCATCTACATTAATACTGGTATTCAGATCCAAAATGTGTTTTTGAAGGAAATACCCAATGAGCTCCACTTGCCTCACGTTGGCTTGCGTCACAGAGCTGTCCCCTAAACCACAACTTGGCTCCTTTCAGACGAAACTAGACTGGAAAGTAGAGCCCCCCTGGACTGGAAGGAGAGTACCCAGCTTGTTCCAGCTGCTCAGGAGCATTCAGATCCCAGGACCAGACATGGGCTAAGCCAGAGTAGTCACCCTCCCTCCCCAAATGCATACAGTGAGGATGTCCTCAGCACCAACTATTTAGTTCTGTTGTCTCCCCTTGTGCTGCGCTACTTCTAGTGTCCATATAGCCTCTGCGTGCTGCTGAGAGATTTAATTTGGGCCTTAGTTTCTCTGCTTGGAAGAGACTATCCGGCCAGAAAGAGCACAATTGTATTGCTGTGTTAAAACTTAACCCATCTACTTAATTTGGGGGGAACTAGACAAAGCTACATACCATTTTGTATTAAGAAATGTCAGTCTTGGAAATAAGTGTTGGGAGAAAAAGAAAGGAGGGAGTATTTTTAAGATGAGATAAAAAATTTGGGGTGAACTCTTTGTGCGGCTTGCTGTCCTGTTTACTGGGGTAAGCAAAATGTGCTAATGCTGTCATGTACACATCGTAACTTTTAACGCCCAGTGGGCTGTTATTTCAATAACTAACATTATTCCTTCGTTAATTTGCAGAAATGCGAGCCGTACAGAAGCAGTTATGTCTTTCAAAAGCAGGGAAAGCAGCGTTCCAGAAGACCTGCTGCGGTAAGCGCGCTGTTAATGACTGCACATGGTGAAACGAATGTTGGCGTTTTATCTGTATGCCACAAGTGACTTCTGTTTTGTTAAGGCGAGCCTTTGTGAAAATGAGTACGTCTCCTGAAGCCTTCCTGTCTCTGCGGTCCCATTTTGCCAGCTCTCATGCACTGATGTGCATCAGCCACTGGATACTTGGTATTGGAGACAGACATCTGTCCAACTTCATGATTAACAAGGAGACAGGTGGCATGGTGGGAATAGACTTTGGATATGCGTTTGGCTCAGCTACGCAGGTATTCGTTTTCTAATTAATTTGTGACAGCTTTTGCATTTATTATGTGCAATCACACATGTATTCTCAGTGCTAAATTTGATGCTCCTCGTTTGCCACCGTTCTGATGCAAAATAATCTTTACGAGTTACTTCTAGCTAATAGAATAAAATCTCTGCTTCCAGATATTCTCAGACAAGCTGGGAGTTAGAGTTTCATAGAGTGTGTATAGTGGTGTTGTGTGTAGTTCAGCCATGCTTTCAACCACTGTCACTAAATATTCATGACTAGAGCTTTGATGTCACAACTTGGTCCTGTTTTACTGTGTTGCACATTATTTTCGGTTAAGTGACAAAGAGGGTTTCAAAGCTTAAAAAGAACAAAATAATTATTTCTAATCCTTCTGTTCCAAGGTTTCTTAATTCTTGTTTTCTTTTGACCGTCCTTCCCCTTGGCTAGTTTTTGGGCGTGCCAGAGTTGATGCCTTTTCGACTGACTCGCCAGTTTGTTAATCTGATGATGCCGGTGAAAGAGTGGGGTCTCATTTACAGTGTGATGGTGCATGCCCTAAGGGCTTACCGTGCGGATCCAGATCTCCTCATCAGCACAATGGATGTATTTGTAAAAGAGCCTTCTTTGGACTGGAAGGTGGGATTTTTCCTCTTTCCTTTTTCTTCATGTGAAAATTCTTAAAAGTGTAACAAGGATAGAACTGATCAAAAAGAAAGCATTTCTTGGTGCTCACTCTCAGTACTCTTTTTACCTTTTTTTTTTTTTTTTTCACGGAGTTCTCAGAGAAACTGAACTTAAAAGGATTTAAAATGACAGAATTCTATATTGATGGACAAAGAATAGCAGCACATTTCTGTGTTATCAGTGTACTGTTCTTTATCTGCATGATAATCCTAAAAATGTGGGTATCTCTTGATCACATTATGGCAGCAGTGTAAATATTTTCAACTTCTTGCACTGAGCCTCTTAAATTTACATAACAACACTATATATCAAACTAAAAATTACAGAGGAAAAAATCTGAAACTAGTTGCACTTCAGTAACTCCAGTTGTAAATTAAATTTTAAGTCATAGGCAGGCTAGATTTCATCTTACTACTTTGTCCTCCATTGCGTCTGCAGTTAAGAGTTATTGGCTTGACCTGCTATGATGTGGCGGCTTAAAGGTCTTTTCGAGTACGTGATTTATGATAAATAGGGCAAATTTGTTTTCTTTTTAGAACTTTGAACAAAGACAGCTGAAAAAAGGAGGCACGTGGATTAAGGAAATAAACACATCTGAAGTAAACTGGTACCCTTTGCAGAAAGTCAGCTACGTCAAAAGAAAGCTTACAGGTGCCAATCCAGCAAGAATCACTTGGTAAGACGCTCTCCTTTTGCTTTAAACTAAGAGCTTTGGCAGTCTCCTGTGTCAGATTTTTCTCCCTTCAGATGGAATGGCAGCTAGGAAAAGAGAAGAGGCAGACAGGGCAAAATTTCAACAAACCTCCTGTCAGAATCCTTTTGGTCCACGTACAAGCTCTCTGAATCACCCTGCCAGCCCAAACACCCGATATCTCCCCCTGAGTGTTCTTCCTCCAGCTCAGGCCTCCTGAGCAGTTTTACTGTTCCTGGCAACACACACATCCCCACCCTGTCAGCCTGCTTAACTTCTCGCTCCTCAGACGGCTGTTCTTTATGTTCGTCTCCACAGCTTTTAGGCTAGGGGTGGTATTTAAATCGATAGGCTTCTGCTGGGCAGTTGCTTGAAATGGAACCTGAAGCAGCTGTATGGGAGGCATGGGGGTAAGCTGCTTCCCAAAACCATCAAATCCAAATCTGATGGCATTCTCAGGTTATTTATGTCAGTCTAGTCAAGTCTGGCTCAGGCCAGAATGTCTTTGAAGTTCAGTTAAAGTACAATTAATCCCTTCCATCCTCTTCTAAAAAGACATTTTGGATTAATCAAGTTAAAAAAAAAAAAAAAAAAAAGGCAAAGAAAGCAAGCCTGTTTTAAAACCATACAAATACTGAAAAGTGCAGGACTTGGGAGGAGTCCCTTTTGCGGTCAAGGCTGAACTGGAAAAGGCAGCAACATACTTCTTGCAGACACAAATCAACAAGGCAGGTAAGGAGATAAAGCAGCTTGGATGTCAACTGCTGCATCCTTCTTTCTGTTAGAGACCTTTGACAACATTGAAATATTCATGGTGAATATTCACTAGCAAAGGACACCTGAAATCACCAGTCTTCACTGGAACAGTCTCCGCATCTTGAAAAATAAAGCTGCATGAACAGTGTTCAAGTACTGTTCCGGATTTTAAAATCCGTCTCAGATTTTTTGCTTGGTTCTTTCAGTAAGAGCTTATTTTTATGTTCTCAATTTTAGTGATGAGCTACGCCTGGGCCACGAGAAATCGCCTTCTTACAACGATTTTGCAGCTGTGGCTCGTGGTAACGCTGATCATAATATCAGAGCCAAAGAGCCAGAGGACGGACTCTCAGAAGAAACCCAAGTGAGATGCCTGATCGATCAAGCGACAGACCCCAACGTTCTTGGCAGAGTCTGGGAAGGATGGGAACCCTGGATGTGAGGCGCTGCTCTCTAGAGCCCAGTCTGCCAGGAGGAGCGTCCTCTGACACACAGCTGCAACCAATCAGAATTTTAAGACCAAGAAGGAAAAAAACCTCTTAACCACTTTTATTGGTTAGCTAAAATAATTTTTCTGTATAAAAGCTGTATTCAATAAGTGTGTTGGGTTTTTTGTTTGTTTTTTTTATATGTTTTTGCAACAAGGCAACTTTATTGTCTTTGTGTTAAAATCAACATAGAAAGAACCAGAGAGGGTGTAGAGGTTAAAGACTTGTCTGAGAGGCACTGAGATGGCTCAGAGGAAAGTACATATTCATACTCTGTGAACTTGTGGGCATCCTTGTAGTGAAAGTCAGTGCTTTTGTCTTTTACAGAGGCCTTGATGACGATCAACCAAAACCATTCTGCAGACACACGCGTTATTTATAATTAAAACTTGAAGATTTTCATATCAATGGAAACAGTGAAGCACGTGGCAAAATTAAACGGAAAACAGCTTTTAGCTCTAGGCAACGCCTAAAGTATCTGGATGGTTATTTCATTACTGGATAATGAAAAGAAATGATGAGACCATGCCAGCTTGTTCCAGCAGATTGTTTTTTAACAACTAGAGGTTATACTCTGTTATCTCAGTCTTTCAGAAGTCTACGCTCCTCGTGTTGTATTAATTTCTGTGGCCAAAGCCAAAAGTAGCCGGTGCGGACGCAGCAGAGCACTGTGAGCTTCTCGCACTTTGGTATTTGCTTTGGTATTTGCTTATGCCAAGTGGGGAAGTTGTGCCAGATGTGGCTTTTCCTCTCTGGCAGCCAGGATTCGGGTAACCTTGGGGGCAAGCGCGGCGCAGCCCAGGCGGCAAGGGGGAAAGAGACGTCTCTAAAATATTACGGTTGTTTATTACCCGCAATTCATTGTAGAAGATAGTTTCCATTGAGGCTTTCGATAATTATCATAAAAAGTGTAATAAAAATGAGTCTTTGCCCTTTCAGTGCCTGCGAGCTTTCCCTCCTGCCTCCCTGGCGATGGGGCAGTCCTGGTCTCGCTGAGGGCCACAGCGTCTGCTGACGCCAGGCTCAAATGAATCTTTCAGCTGGAGAGCAGAGGAATCTGCCTCCTGGATACAACTCCATGAAAAATTCAGCATGGGGAAGATCGCTCGCTGAGGCCTGGTGAACAGGGAGGGAGCTTTTTTGTTTCAAATACTTCCCAGCAACGATTACTGTTTGTTACCTTCCTTCTTAATAAATATGCTCAATTCTTTACATTACAAATCGAGAAATTCAGAACCTTTGCGTCAGATTTTATGAATTAAATATATTGTTTGGCTGTATTTTTGTAGAGAAAACCTATTTAAAAATAAAATTTCAGATGTATACTTCATTTCAAAAGTTAATTTAGGGCATTTCAATCACAGAAAACATCCATATTTACCCAATTACACAGATGGTAATGGACGGAATTATTTTTTTTTCAGAAGAGTGTATGGTACAGTCTATTTTTATATACACTTGTGTAACGTGTCTTGGTGTATTTTGCTCTTTTAATCTCCGGTGTCAATAAAGACGGTGGCACTATGACTAAAGCGTGGTTAGGTGAGGCGCTCAGCTTTCATATTGTCACTCCACAAATATGAGAAAGTTAAAGCACAATAAAAAGGTACATGAAAAGATGAGGGGGCATTTGGAAATCAAGTGGCTGGTCCTAGGAGGTGTTTAATTGCACTTTTGCCACATACCTCAGATATTTACTAGGTACTTTGACCTGTACTGTGGAGGACAAAGTTTAGGTTTATAGTTTAACAAGGCTCCTCTCGTAGGACTTTTGATACCTTCAGCAACAATAGATGTTTGTGCACAGCTTGCCTCTCTCCGGCACCAAACCGGGCTTCCTTGGCCTTTTGGAAGGGGCTGGAGGTGGAAGGCAGCCCGGCTCTTCCAAGAGAAGGGGACTGGTGAGCTCTGTCCCCTGCCCTCCTCTCCCTGTAGTCTCTAGCCAAAGACCCTCAGGCCAAGGGCAAAAGCCTTTGAGATAGGTGCAAGTAGTAGCCCTGACCGTGCAAAAGAGCTTAGAACACGTCCGTGGCACTTAACACGGTTAAAAGCTCAGTTTTGGCCCTAAAATAAGTGCTCTGATTGGAAGCCTCAGCCACACCAGTCCTACTGGAGCTGTACTGGTCAAGCTCAGGCGTCAGCTACTGCAGCAAAGCACAAAGCTGTTGGGTATTTAATGTGCAGAAGCACATCCTGGGCGAAGCAAGTGGAGATGCCCTCACGGAGCTTTGCCTGCGCAGCAGAATGAGCCTGACAGTAACCTACGACACACACGAGTCGTGGCTGCTGTCCCCAACCCCGACTGAAGAGTGCTGCGCTCAATAAAATACAGCCATTAACGGGAAAGGCTGGAACTAGCCCGCGCAGCAGCAAGGAGAGCACCAACGCAACGAAAACCTCAAGTCGTTGGGCTCGGTCCTTTGCGGGGTGGGTTTGTTTGGCTTCCAAAAAAGAATAAGATGACGTGCGGCTCGGAGCCGGGGACGGCTTCGGGTCTCACGATGCAAAACAAAACTCAGTAACTATCCACAAGCGCGGCAGAATATTTCTCCGATTGAATAACCAGATGTGCACTATATCTGGAAATTCATTAATTGCATCTAAAACACTATGTAAACCATTAGCGTGTATTCTCAGTCAGTTTTTCTTAGCGTATAGAGTATTTGTGCTCAAGGTAGTCATCACTGTCCCTGTCCTCTTATAATTTCTCTCTTAATTAAAAATAATAACGCCGCTAAACACAGGAAAGCTCTGCAGCTGCAGCCTGTGGTCTCCTCTCCCAGCTGATAAAGCTGCGTGCTGCTCGCTGTCCTCAGGACTTTTATTAGTCCCCACCACCGCCCTCCAATTTAAATGTTATCTTCTCCCCCAAACTTCCCATTTTTCAAAATCGGGGTGTTAAATTAAGGATTTATGATGCCTGCTTTAAAAAGCGCTTTTTTTTTTTTTCTTCTGAGGATGAGGGTCTGCTGAGTCACTTCGTTAACACTGCATACCTCGTTTGGAAACGACCCAGGTTTTGAAATTTCATTTTTAAGCTATGCTGCTTGTAAGAAATGGCACCTACACAGAAAGGTCACATCCTGGCAGCCACCTATGGCACCAAACAGTGTCACTAGTCTTGTAGCAAAGCTCCCAAAGAGCTACTTTTTACCTTAAACCACTGGTGTCCAGAATAGTGGGCTTAGGATTTATTTTTTTTTTGGTCGCAAAAAATTTGGGGAAGTAGTGGCCATAAGGGATTGGAAATGATTTAGTTACAGTTGCCACATTATTTACGGAGATTTTTTGTTTGCTTTTTTGTTTGCTTTGGGGTTTTTTTTTCCCTTTTTGATGGGACAGGAGAGGGTGACACTCGCTCTGTCTGTCCATTAAACTCCCAGTAAATGGTTCTGTGCCGGCTGTCATTTGTTGAGGTGAGGCAGAAGATGTAGCTGTGAATTTGACCTCACAAATCTTGTCCCTACTGGAAACTCATGGAAAACCTGCATCGGGAGAAAGTTCAGAGCATTCACCAAAGAGCGTGAGAAAACGAGGAGTGCAGGGTCGGAGGTGTTTCGCTGCTGCGGCACTCGACTTTTTGGGATCCTGGGCACGGGGAAGATTTAATTTAGCGGCTCAGCAGCCGCCGGCGCAGCTGAACAATCAGAGCACAGACTTTAAAAGAACTAAAAAGTAAAATCCTTTGATTTACCAGCAAGTTCTTCAGCTGCTAACAGTGGGGTGGCCGCAGGCTGGATCACTGCAATGAACTGACCAAGTGAGTACAGCTGAGGAGCAAAACCACTGTCGGAGTGACTTCAGGACATGGGAGGAGGCACGAGCCCCCGGCAGAGGTGGGACGGGAGGTGGGAAGGGTCCAGCACTGACCACGCTGGCTTACAAGAGAGAGCTGACACCAACCTCCACGAGGTTCTGTCCCTCCCTAGCAGTGTGCTGGCAGGTTTTTAACTCCCCAAACAACTCGCACCTCCTCACCTGTATGTCCCATTCCCCGGTCAGTCCCCAGGTGCTGGTCCTGGCTTCTAGCTGTTGAATGAAACCATCAGTGCTCCCCTGCTTCTTGTTGGGGGGAGGAGAACACCAGACAAACCGCCCCCTCCATCATTTTCCTCCCCTTGTCAGCTGGCTCTTTGTCACCAGCCAGCCCACCTTCCCCTCTGAGACCCAGTGCTGTGAAGTGCTTCCCCCGGACGAGGTGTCCCTCCGGCTCTGCAGCTGCCTTACCCCGGCCCAGGAATCCCCCAGGAGCCAGCGTCCTGCTGGCACTGCCTCAGCCTCATAACACCCCCAGAGCAGAGAAGGGCTCCGTGGGCTCCACAGGACCAGCCCAGCCTTGCCAGGCTCCCAAAAAGTCCTGCACTTCTGGCTGGGTTACCAGAGACGAGCACGACGGGAGGAGGATGAAGGGGGGGACTAAAGCCAGGCTGAAGAGTTGCCCCATTTCTCCACCTTCCCTGGGTGGCCTGGCCCTCATTTATCAGGAAAAACTAAGCAGAAATACAGTGTGATTTAATTCCTGTCCCTGGAGGGCTCAGGGTCCTGGTGCTCTTCTGGGATTCACAGCTGGCATTACGGAGTAATATAAAGTTTTGCCTTTTCTCTGCAAAGGTTTCTCACCCTCTATCTCCTGGTGTAAAACCTCCTCTGTGCTTGACTTGGGGCAGGAACCTCAAACAGGTTTTAGAGACAATACTCTGAAATTCAGATGCTCAAATATTTCTCACTGCTGTTTAAAACTTACCGGAGCGCGGAGAGAAGCCACGATTGGGTGGGTCAGGTGCTCAGCAGGACGGGTGAGGGAATCGAGGGCTTGTCTCGGCTTCACTCTCCATCAAATTATTTATGCAAATGGAACAACAGATGCAACTGCCGAGATGCCAGACAAATCCACTCCAGAAAAGAGTGGTTATCGTCCTGCCTTCAGCCCGGTGCTTTGGTAAGGGACATGGATCCTTCACTCAGCTGCTCCTGCTGTTTCGCTGCAGGTGTAGTACCGCCCCAGGGCTTCACACCCTGCGTGGCACATGGTGGGGACGGGGACAACCCCCTGAAACGCACTCCTGAAATCACACATCTC